CCGTCATAGCCACTAAACTAATTCGGACGCGTTTCGTGTCTGCTCGAAGCCAGATTGCATACTTGTTGGACATTCATGGACCGCTCCCACTAGATGGCTGCCTGGGAGGGGCGACGTTTGAGCGTGAACGAGTGCCAAAAGGGCCATTCGAGACGCCTTTTAGAAGAACGGTGTATGTTGCTGTAGGAGCCAACGAATCATCAGCAAGAATGAGGACGGCTGGTCAGCAATGCGTACAATGGACGGTCGGAAGCCTTGCTCCGTGGGATTACGGAGGAGAGAGGGTCATGGTGACGCAGCGTGTCGAAAGCGCGCAGCAGCCGCAGGCAGGCAGGCGTGAGATGCATTAATGCGTAGATCCTGCGGTTGGCCCGCCAAGGCGTTTGGCTGCCTGGACCCTCTCATGACAACCTTTTGAATTTTGCTTTCAATCGCACTCCACAGCAGTCGCAGCTCAGCACTGCTCAGCACAGCTTCGAGAATAAGCAGTCGACTCGATGCAGCCAACAAATGCACGGTTCAGTCAATCACTGCACTCTGCAGTCAGTCAGTGCATTATCGTTTTCGGCTCAGTCAGAGTCGGAAACCCAAATCCCGCATCCGCATCAACCGGTACGCCCTGCACCCTTCTCTCTCCTCCTTGCCTCCCCGTCCCCACCAATACCCGTCTCGCTCCTTCACAGCGATCCGCTCCGCTTTGCTTTGTCTCTCGACTTCATATCGCCTAGACTGGACTGTACACCGCCAATACCCAGCTCACAACCTCTGGCTGCTTCGCTCCTGGGCTCGCACTCATACCGCAGTGTTAGGGCCTCCCTCCGACCATGGTGGCCATCCGCCCCCTCTTCGGCTCTCGCGCCAGCGTGGAAAACGTAAAGGACAGCTTCGGCACCACCGTCGAACTCGTCAAGTCGAGCGAGAGCCAGCACGGCACACCATCCACCTCGGATCCGCCTCAGCTACACGCGCAACATCCAGACGAGAAGCCTGCACCTCCTGTCGCCAACGCACTCGAACACGGCCAAAAGCAGTCTCTCGCCGGCTTCCTCAACGGCGCCGCCCTCGTCTCGGCAAAAGACGACCACTCCAAACCCGAAGACCACCACCACGATCTCAGCTACGATTCCGAGGCGAGCGCTCCTGCCACCTCCAACGACGACGATGCAGTCGCCTGGAAGCAGTCCGCCCAACAGGCCGAATCCTCCGACCAGCGCGAATCCGCACGCGCACGCAGCAAGTTCGGCCGCAGCCTCAAGCGTCTAGATGCTAGAGTCCGCACCACCCTCCACGTCAACGCCCCACCCACCGCCGCAGACATGCGCAGCCCCTACTCGATCGGCAACGACGACCATCTCGACACCCACAACAATCGCGGCGCCGCAGACCTCCTCAACGACGCCAGTCTGGAGACCTTGCAGCATCTCTCCGACGACAACGACGACGAAGACTCCGATGACGACGCAGACGTCGATGACGACGACGATCACGCCGACCCACACGCCAATCAAGCCGCACCCCAACTCGACCCTGTCAAGCTCGACAACGATCGACAGGCCCTTGATCGCATAGACAACAATGCAGAGCAGCTTCGCACCGGCTCCATGAAGGATGCCCAAGTCGGCGACGTCGTCCGCTTGGAAGCTCCAGTGCGCTTCTCCGATGAAGAGAAGCTAAAGGCGATCGTCGACGAGTTTGGCGAATGCCCCTGCCTGTCCCACCCCAACGAGCCAGAGAAGCTCATCGCCGACATCACCGGTGTCCTTGTCAAGACCGTACTGATCAAAGGCAACATCTTCCTCACCAGCCGTCGCATCTGCTTCCTCGCCTACATCCCCACCACCAAAGCCGAACAGCCCGATCCTTTCGCCTCTGCGACTGATCAGGTCGACGACGCCGCTAGCGCCGACCGCGTCCGCCTCAATGCTCCAATCGATCCCAACGTTCGCAACCCCATCCTCAAGTCCGGCCCCGCCATCATACATCGGCCGGGCAAGTTGCGCCCCAAGCGAAAAGTCTGGATCGAGCTCCGCAGACACTCCTTCAACGCCTACAGGGCCAGCAACAAGCTCTACAAGCCTCTCATGTCCGCCCGCCTCTCCAACCTCTATGCCGTGCTGCCCATCGACTGGTCCGAGCCCCACGTCATCCGCTTCGTAGAGGGTCAGAAGTACAGCGCCATCGAATTCAAGACCCAGGAGGCTGCGCTCGACTGGCGCAAGGAGCTCGAAGGCGCCGTCTTCCACTCGCGCAACACTGCCGACAAGGTTCGCATCAGCATCCCCCTCGAGCGCATCGTCGGCCTCGACACCGCCGACTTCCTCCAGGTCGCCAAAATCGTCCACATCGACGTTATCGCCGGATCCGTCGACGAGGCCAGCGCTGCCGCCGCCATGCAGGAGCACCGCGACCGCACGGCACGCCACCAGCTCGACCACAGCTGGTCCTCCGGCAACATGTACATCAACTGCCCCAAGAATCCCGGATTCAAGTGCCACATCACCCAGATCGCTCTCGGCTTCACCGTCAAGCGCCTGCCCTTCATCGATCTCCTCCAGGAAGCCGTCAAGACTTGCCGAAAGATGCAGGGCAATATCGGGTTCGAACAGGTCCTTCGCCTCGTCCCCAAAGTGTTGCTCGATCTCGAATCCGATCCCGATGCAGACGACACCACGAGCGACGCCAACGACTCTTCCGAATCCCAGAAACGCTCGCTCGCCGAAAAATTCTGCCACTCGTTCGGCCTGCCCTCGCGTCCAGACGAGCTCAAGCTGGTCAAGGCGCAGCTTGTGCGCACGCTTCTCACACACGGCACGCTCGCCATCGGCCTCGAGTATCTGCTCTTCTGGCGTAGAGCCGTCGGCCGCGACCTCAAAGTCAAGGTGCCCCTCAACGACATTCAGGGCGTCGACACGTACCACTCGCTCCTCTGGCACCACTACGGACTCGTCGTCCACATCACCGCTCACTCGGATATGTTTTTCGATTTCCATACAAAGGACAATCGCGACATGGTGCTCGCCACTCTCAAGCGCGTCGTCGAGGCCAAGGAAAAGCACAAGAAGGACGCCGATTCGCAGAGCATCACTCGCTCCATCACCACGGCCACCGACGACAGCCACACCACCAAGGTCGATCCTACATCGCCCAGCTCGACAAGCGGCCCCGACGCCGCCAAGACAGACGCGAAAGCCGCGCTCTTCCATGCGTCCGAGACCGAGGTGCCGGTGTTTGATCCCGACATGCTCGCCTACCTGCCAAAGATGGTCAACGTGGACAGCACGCTCATTCGCAACTCGCTCCGCATCTCGCCCATGCGCATATACTGTCTCACCATCGGCTCGCGAGGCGACGTGCAGCCCTAC